TATGTAAAACGCTCCACAACTTCCAGTACCTCTCCCTGGGTTGTAAGGGGCGTGTTCAGTGACTGTACGTCTACAAGCATGACCTTACACTTTGTGGGTGCAAAGTGCATACCAAAGGACGGGATGACTTTGGTCAGTTCATCCAAGAATACTTGCGCCTTCTCCTCCTCTTCGAAGATGAGAACGATGTCGTCTGCATATTCCAGATCGACAAGGTTTTCTTCACTGGCTATTTGAACACCAGGGTTTTGGAGACCCTCCAGCGTTCGTCTCATTATTTCATCGATCACAAAGTATAAGCTAGCACTAATTCCCTTCCCTATCTCATTCTTTTAAGGCTTTCAAATAGGTCACGGTTGTATGGCAGTGATGGATCGGTGTTGAACACTGAAGTTATGCTATCGACGATTATAATGAGGCTTGGACAACCTGACACCATCACAGCCTTCCCGTTTCCTCAGGGTGACATGCTAACTAGGTACGTAACAGATGTTAGATTTTTTCTTGTGACTTTTTTGCGTGGTCTCTGGTTTAGTCTTCCACAAACACAGATAGTTCTTAATCCTAACCACACTGATGTTACAAAGTATTATTAGGATGTCCCTAATCACCAGCACCGATCCGTTCCCCAATCGTACAGCTGTCCATCCACAATCTGGTATGTCAGCTGATGCTATTACCACAACCGTCAACAATCTCTCGTATGTTCGTCTCATGTAAATTTGACCTTCATTTGCGACCGTGTAGTTATACATAGTCACTGGATGGCGCTTTAGGTACCACAGTTTTGTCGACAAAACTTGCAGCGCGTGGATGTAGAAACCTTGTGGGTCGCCGGAGATTGAACAATGAAACCGCTGCATCTTGGGCAAATAGAGTGTAACCGATACAAACAATTAAAATCAATTGCAGTGCACATAAACTAACATAAGGTGGCAGTTTTATTCATTGAGCTCCTCATATGTCACAAAAATGAAAAATCGAAGGGTCGCGGTAATATTGATATTCTGTTATATCCTTCCATTGAATTTACTAGATAGTTGGAGCTGTCTCACTGGTGCCTATCCTATCGGCACCATGGGCAACTGAGTTGAGTCCAACACCACCACTGCTAGCGCACATAATTCAGCCGTAGTTCGTTCCACTTCATGATAAACGTGGACTTCATTACGTTTCATTCATAGACACGGAAAACCAGCCAACTCACCCTTAACTCGGGCGGATTTGCAGTCAAATTTCGACAGGTATGTCATTCCGGACTGCCAAACTGGAACTTTTCAGACAGCGCGGCCGGAATACCGTGTATTGAAACAACCTAGTCAGTGGTGGGACATGACGTGTAAATTTTACTACAGAGCCGTCTTGCCACCAGTGCTCCGTGAAGGATTCGCATGTTCTGGACAAGTTCTAGGTGTCGACAGGAAAAGCGGCTGTCACGGATTCACGGATTCACGGACTGATACACAGGATCGAGGCTTTTGCACAAAATTCCCGGGTCGGTTTTGTTCTTGTCGGTCAGTGGCTGTCGTTCACCTGAAAGGCACAAGTGAAAAAAAGGTGTAGTACTGCTCT